GAAAAGTGTGACGGCAAGAGGAGAAGGGGACCACAGAGGACAAGATGGTTGGACAGGGTCATCGAAGCTACCAACATGAATTTGACCCAACTCCAGGAGGCAGTGGAAGACAGGAGGGCCTGGCGTGCTCTGGTCCATGGGGTCACTAAGAGTCAGACACGACTTAACAACTAAACAACAACCACATCCATGTTCCTAGGAGAGACCAGCGTGAGGGATGGTGGGAGAAGCCTCTATGCTGCAAGATCAGAAGACCTGCAGTCCTAAGATCTAATCCACGTAACAGAGAGAGCCCCCGTCTCTTGTCCCAGCTCCCGCCAACCTAGCAATTCAAAAGCATGCAAAATGCAAGTCCATAGATAAATAGGTACCACCACAATGGGAAGGTAAACGGTGTTCCGTGTCTAGTTGCGCTGGCCACGGAAGACTGTCTTCGTACAAACGCTAGGGTTGGAAACGGAGATGAGCACCGCCCCCTAGAGTCGGACACGACTGAACAAATTGTCAAGGGGAACTTTTACCTTTACTAAATATTCCCCATCTCTGGTCTAAGGCAGTGAAATGGCAGATCTGGCCCCTGACGGAGAAGAGACATCACAGCTCTGAAGGTTACATGTTAAAAGGAATTTATTGCATCGTTTATCACCAAATTCAATACCAAAAAACAATTATCAGAAAAGTTCAGAATTACATTCAAAGTGCCCCCCCTCCCCCAGAATGTTTTGGATTGACAATAAAATACAGTGGGGTCTTGACTTGAGAACTTAATCCATATTGGAAAAGTCAAGGGTCCACTGTAACTGCATTAGGGTGAATGTTTAGGCTGTCACTGGGCTGCAGCGGTTTGGTAGCTGCTGCTATTGTAACATTGCTATTCCAGAAAGGAATAACATATCAATTAAAACTCAACGTTCTGGTTGAACTTATACTTCCAAAACAAAACAAAAAAAAATAAACTCTTCACTCAAAACATGGGCACACAGATGAGCCCCTTTTAGACCTTAATTTCCACCCCAAGTAAACACAAGAGGTGAGGTCCACTCTTTGATTGCCTAAAGAGAAGAAAGTTATGCTTACTTAATAAAGTAATGGCACCTGCCCCGATGTTGGGGCCTTTTGCTGAGTGGCTGGTGGTCTTCACTTTGCAACTGGGGATGCATGTTTGGGGTTTTTTGGTGTGTCTGCAGAAGTATACCCAAGAAACCTGACTATCTCTCTTTGAAATGTGAAAATGTGGAGACGTTAAACTGGAGGGGAAAGTCTGTTTTTATGGAACCATTTTAGGTAAGTTTTTTTAAGGTCATTGTTTAAATCAGTGGTTCTTAACCTTTGTTACTCGGATGCTTTTGAACTGCAACTCCCAGAAACCTCAGTAAGGACAGCTGGGGGTGAAGGCTTCTGGGAGTTGCAGTCCAAAACTCCTGAGTAACCCAAGGTTAAGAACCAGTGGTTTAAATAACAATGTTAATCCGTCTTATGGTTGTTGCAGGGTTTTTGGGCTGTTTGGCCAATATCCTTCAACACCCATTGGATCCGGGCTATGAAAGCCTTCGAGAACACATTAATCCATCTTATTTTTTGTTTTTCCTCCTTTCCTGCTGCTAACCATCACATTGTTGTTGTTTAGTCGTGCCCGACTCTTCGTGCCCCCATGGACCAGAGCATGCCAGACCCTCCTGTCTTCCACTGCTTCCCGGAGTTTGGTCAAATTCATGTTGATTGCTTCAATGACAAACCATCACAAAAATAATTCACTCTCAGAACACAACAGCCTTTCATTAAGCAGGCCCATCAATTTCAGGATTTTGTAGATGAAAAAAGCACTTAAAATGTGTTTGTGTTTTGCTGGAATTCAACATGGCTGAAGGGCTTAACATTTGCAGGTAATGATTTAACTAAGCATAGGGTTTTGGCGACTACATCTGAAAATAATACTGGCAATACAAATAGGTTTGGTTGTTATGGGTTTTTGGGCTCTTTGGCCGTGTTCTGAAGGTTGTTCTTCCTAACATTTCACCCGTCTCTGTGGCTGGCATCTTCCTCTGAAGATAAGACTACTTCTGTGCATGTACAGAAAACCTTCTCTCTGTACAGACGATCTGAGGGATAGGTACTTCTATTTCTCCAAATTCCTCTGCAAAAACCCCCCTTTCCGTGAAGCATTTGGAAGAATCCCCTCATGACGAAATGTGAGTCCTATTGAGAGTCTGAGCACTCCTCGTTATATATTATCGTCCTGCCTATCCAACGCAACGGTAGCCCAGTATTTTTCTGCTCACGCCCTTCGAAACGCTGCAGCCAAGAAAACTACCGTTCCCATAATGCCCCGGAATCCAATCAAGAGGCGGAAGAGCTAAAAGGAGCCCAATAAGGTGCAACGAGCCGTCGAGAGTTGGTGGCGGTTAAAATTTGAACATAGTGGCGGCGGAGGCTTAGCGGATGGACTGGGCTGAACTTCGGCTTCTCGCCGCATAGTGAGTAAACGAAAGGCTTTACGAGGACTCCTTCCTTCCACCCCCAGTTTTGTGCCCTCTGACGAGGTCTAAGAGAGGTGCGTGCGGATGATGGCGAGGTGTTCTTTTCGCAGTTGTGGTCCGTGCACAAGGCAGGGCAGCAAAATGCTGGGGTCCCTCTAATTTCCACCTTTCAGTTTCTGGAAGGAGGTTTGGGCTCTTGGTCGCCTTTGTTCTGGAAACTCAGCGGTACCGGGTTCGTGAGGCTTGGACAAGAACATCGAACTCTCTACTGCCATAACTGCTATCCATTCACACGAACAAGCAGGCTGAAGGCAGTTCTTTTAAAAATAAGCATACACCTTTGCGCCTTCCAACTTCTTTCCAGTCGTGACGAGAAAATAGGTAATTGAAGCCAAAGAGGTTTTGTTGAATTGGAGTAATTGCGAATGTGTTGCTAATCTCTGTGCTGCTCAAGTGCGTGTGTTAATTGTTTACTTATTACTGTAGTTACATTCCTGCCCTTTGTCCGATGAGCTTGAAATGTTATACTGTACAGGGCTTTTCTCGTTGTTTCCTTTTCACAACAACCCTGTGAGGTAGCCTAAGGTGTGAGAGAATGGCCCAGCATAACTCAGTGAATTTCATAGCACTGGGGGAACTGGTCTTCTAAATCCTAGTTTAGCAAGCTAATGGTTAGAACATGCTGTTACCTGTTTATTGATCTAACAAACTGGGTTATTCTAAATGTCTTCCTTGATTCCACACATATAACAGCAATTATCTTCATTTCTTCTCATTTCTAGGGTTTATAGACCTGACTATCAAAAGTCTTTAATATAGACAATCATGTCCCTGGATGGGAATGAGTGGGAGCTGAGCAAAGAGAATGTGCAACCTCTTAGGCAAGGGAGGGTGATGGCTACCCTGCAAGAAGCTCTGGCCCAGCAGGATGTTTCCACTCATACAACCATCCAGCTGCAAAAGCGGTGAGGGTTTTTTTTTTTTTTTGTCTCTATGCAACCTGCTAAACTCTTGCTTTAGGAGAGCTACTATGCATGCCTTCCAGATGTTTTGGACTATAATTCCCATTAAACCCAGGCATCAAGCACAGATTCAGGAGGTTATGGTCCAAGGACTCTAGTTCTTTACAAGGAACACAGATAAATCTGTTTTATGCAAATACTAGATATTTCCTGCACCAATGATGCAAGGCCCAAATGATGTACTTGTATCTTCAAACAGCTTTTAGCACATGAAAAGGTTAACTGGGCTAGTATACATCAGTCTTTGCACATGCATTTGAAAACGTATGTTGTTAGACAAGGTTCGAACATTTTGCATTTCTAGCAATTTTATTTATCAAGGAGAGATGTTTTATGAAAACAGAGGTATATCAACTTCTTAAGAGGGACAAAATCAAATATAATTCTAGAGTAGGGCTACTTTAAAATGACTGTGCAGTTATGTTTGTATAAGTGAAACAAAAGCAAAGCATGCTGCTTATATACCACCCAATAGTGCTTAAATCAGTCTCTGGGCAGTTTCAGTTTACAAGCCTCAGAAGGATGGGATGTTGAGACAACCTTGAGCCAGCTACCTGAGCCTGTCAGGATCAATCTTGGGTCATGAGCAGAGGCTTCACTGCACTGCTGCTATTTAACCACTGCACCATGAAGTTCTGTGGTCTTTAGTACCACCCCTTGGTCATTGGCTGCCTTATATTCAGTCAGTCAGAGAAGTGGTTAATTTAGTTTACTATTATTGTAACTAGTAGAGGCTTAACAAGATCTTGGACAAAGAAGTCCTGGCGAAGTCCTGGCAATTGACTTTGGATTCTCTTATATTCAAAGTGTTTGCCTTATCACTGAGCTCTGATCAGTCTTCCTTTTTTCCTGTTGGTAAAATGAGTGCACTTTTAAAATTCTGTATCAGTCAACCAAATATGCTTCCTTCTCATAGTTCCGTATTTTTCTGTCTATAAGATGCCCTATGTATAAGACCGCCATGTTTCTCTCCCCCCCCCCTTCTAACCCCAAAATTAAGAAACCTTAACTTAACTCTGAGTATTCAGCCTCTGGGCTCAGAATGCTCGGACATTACGAGTCCCTGTTGAATCTGAGCATTGCCTGTAGGTTCCACCTCCAATGAGGTGTGTTCCAATTGGTTTGTACAGCATCAGCTGACATCCGGTATATCAGGCTTGTGAGTGGAGAAAGCTAAATCTCCTGACTGTAGGAAGCTAAGCCTTGTGATTGGAGGCAGCCTGTTTGCAGAGGCAAGGTATGTGCTATTTTTTTCTCTCCTCACCTCATTTCTGTGTATAATTTTAGACAAAATTTTAGACAAAATAACTAAACTACACATTTTTCAGATGTAGGTGCCTTACTTTGATGTTTGCCTCTAATTTCAGAGAGTTTGAATCTGAAATTCGCTTTTACAGTGGAGATGATCCTCTGGATGTCTGGGACAGGTGAGCTCTAATTTGATGAAATAAAATGTGGGTAGTTCTCAGTTTTAAATCTAGATGTCTCTTTCTTGTGTTCATAATTTTTTTAATATCTCTAGATATATCAAATGGACAGAGCAGACCTTTCCTCAAGGTGGTAAAGAGAGCAACCTCTCTGCTGTGTTGGAGAGAGCCGTTAAAGCACTGAATGAGCAGCAAAGATATTACCAAGACCCTCGCTACCTCAGCCTCTGGCTTAAATTTGTGAGTGTACTGCATGTGTTTTCTCACGTATGCTGTATTACAGTTTACTGAGTTATAAGCTGTTGTTCAGATAAGCTGTAACAGTTTGCTTAATGCTGTGAACACATTTTACAATAATTTGCCCACATCACACCTTACAAACACAAGTCAAATCAGTAAACATTCACAGTTCCTATTTCCCATATCTCAGTTTCTTGACAGCTGGCTAAAAACCTTTTAATTAACACAAAAGACCCAAAAAGAGATTATTTATCAGAGAGTGAAAATATTTCATGTGCAGAAAACATTTTCTTGATTAATGTGTGTGTGTGTGTGTGTGTGTGTGTATGTATATATATATGTATATGTATAAAAACCAGCCAAGCAGTGATTCTTAACCTTTGTTACTCAGGTGTTTTTGAACTGCAACTCCCAGAAACCCCAGCCAGCAGAACTGATGGTGAAGGCTTCTGGGAGTTGCAGTCCAAAAACATCTGAGTAACAAAGGTTAAGAACCAGTGTCTTAAAGCAGTGGTCCCCAACCTTGGGCCTCCAGATGTTCTTGGGCTACAACTCCCAGAAACCTTCACCACCACCTCTGCTGACCAGGATTTCTGGGAGTTGAAGTTCAAGAACATCTGGAGGCCCAAGGTTGGGGACCACTGTCTTAAAGCACAGTTCCCCAACCGGTGGCCCGGCGCCGGCCGCAGACATGAGTCTCCACCCACCCGCGGGGCCTGTTGCGCTTGCGGGTGGGGAAGGCTCCCAGAAACCTTCACCACCACCTCTGCTGGCCAGGATTTCTGGGAGTTGAAGTCCAAGAACATCTGGAGGCCCAAGGTTGGGCACCACTGTCTTAAAGCACAGTTCCCCAACCGGTGGCCTGGCGCCGGCCGCAGACATGAGTCTCCACCCACCCACCCGCGGGGCCTGTTGCGCTTGCGGGTGGGAAAGGCCAGGAGGAGCTGGCGGAGGCCCAAGAGAACCTGCAGAGGTGCCAAAGTAAATGTTTCTCTCCCCCCCCCTTCCCACATGCTTTCTGCTAAGTAATTCCAGCTGGAGGGAGAGTCCCCTCCTGACTTTCTTATCAAGCAGGAGGAGGAGGGCAGGAAGGATGCCGCCCTCTCCTTTTGTGTCTCACCCCAAGTGGTGCATGCTTGTACGTGTGGAGAAAGAAGAGGGGAGTGAGAGGAATCAACCTCGTAAGTAACCTATGGTGCTATTTAGTGAGAAACCTAAACTTTGTGTCCTCTGGCACAGCTTCGTGACACGCCTCCCTCTGCAAGCATGACATGCCCACCTGTGAGGGTGACACACCCATACCTGAGCGCGGGGATGCCCCAGCTGTCCACACACAGAGCCCGTACCCCCCTCCCAAACAGTCCGTGGACTGAAAAAGTTTGGGGACTGCTGTCTTAAAACATTAATTAAATAATTTAGTTAATTGAGTAAAACTTGTACCGAGAACTGAATTCATGGTCTGTTTGATAATCTTTTTTTAAAAATGAATTCCATACAAGCATATGGACAAAATAACTCATTTGTTCATTTAATTTGGTCCTTATAATGATCCTTTATTTATTTGTATTGGACTGTTGCAGAATTCAAAATTATTTGTGCATATCAAATATAGGTACAGTTTAAAAACAAATGAAAATGTTATGATAATTAGACTAATTTTCACTAGAAGTAGGGTACTTCAATGGTATTATCCTGACCATTTGCTAGATCTTTTGTACACATTCGTGGGGCATATATTGCATGTACATACTGTATGTGCTGCGTTGGTTCAATTTCTTACAGGAAATTTGTCCTGTATCTAAGTTGCCACATTTTACTTGATTATTCTTTAATCTTTCTACTTCATTTTGAAGTCTATTAAGTGACTTCCATATGGTCCAGCAAGAATTTTGTCCTAGTGGGAGATACTCTTCAGCATTCACCCATTTGTCAAGGTGTGTCGTTCTGCCAACTCCTGCGACATTGCTGGAACCAGTTGTATTGGCTCTTGCCTTTCCATTGGACCATTTCAGCAATGTGGAGAGGGGGGATCTGCTGCTTGGGTAACAGCCTATCCTCGATATTACCTTACCCGGGCTTCATGCTCTGGAGAGGACACTCCTCGATTCAGAGCATGTTACCATAGTCTCTCGAGACTGAAGGATGCCTTATGCTATGCTGTTTCTGTTCCCCACAGACTTAGCCTGGCCTTCTCTGGTTTAGTATTTAGAGCTTGGGATATGTGCAGGAAGCATTTCCTTGATTGTAACCCACTGCAACGCGCTCTATGTGGGGCTGCCTTTGAGGTGGACGCGGAAACTTCAGATGGTGCAGAATGCAGTGGCCAGGCTCCTTACTGGAGTGAGAAAATTCCAGCACATTTCTCCTACCCTGGCCAGACCCATTGGCTGCCCATTCGTTTCTGCATCAATTTCAAAGTTTTAATGCTTACTTATAAGGCCCTAAACGGTTTGGGATCTCGATACTTGGCGGAACGCCTGCTCCCACCAAGATCTACCCGGACCACCCGCACGAGCCAGGAGGTGAGGCTGAGGAGCCTGACGCCGAGGCCTGGAGGGAAAAGACTCGAAACCGGGCCTTCTCGGCAGTGGCTCGTCTTTGGAACAGTCTTCCTCCTGAGATTCGTGCGGCCCCTACGCTGGGGACAGTTAAAACCCAACTAAAAACATGGCTTTACATCCAGGCCTTCCCTCCTGCCAGCATTTAACTTCCTTTCTCTTGGCTATCTATCATTTATCATCTTTTGGAATGTTTTGTTACTATGATGTCAATGATTTATATTATTTAATTGTATATATGCTTGTTATTAGCCGCCCAGAGTGGTAGAATACTGTATACTAGATGGGCGGGGTATAAATCAAATAAATAAATAAATAAACTGAGGGGTTTGTGTCCATGAAATGGATGTGATTGGTGCTCTGTTACCTTATTCACTAGTTGGTAGTAGCTCTCAACATACTTTTGGAAAGGCATTGCTAACCAAATAATGGATTTTTCAATGGGGTTAGGTTTAGAGTAGCCGGTAATAATCCTATATGATTCTTTAAGAATTAGATCCACTTGTTTGATCCTGAGGGCTGAGAGAACTGGGATGGGAGTGGCAGAGGGATGCCTTACTTCAATTTATGTGCATAAAATCCTAGCCTTTCAAAGAAAAAAGGGGGGGAAGGACCTTGAGCTAATTAATCAAACCTTAAGAACGGCTTATGTTTTAAGGAGGGAATGGCTTGGTTTGAGAGTGCAGATGATATTGTGTTTCACAAATCCTGTAGATATATGGTTTTCACTGACTGGATGACTCACTGAACAATGTTTGAAATTACTTGAGCCCATAATGACTGGGAAACAAAAAGAAAGTGGAGATTCTTGTGGTTCTTTGTTTCAAAACAGCTATAGGGAGCTAGAAGCTGCTGAATTCTGATGTTGCTCCTTTAAAGAACATTTGCTTCTTTTTTTGGTATGAGTAAGCCTTCACTCCCTTATGTTCTTCAGGGGAACTGTTGCAGTGAGCCTCTGGACCTGTATGGCTATCTTCACAGCCAAGGCATAGGCACATCGTTGGCACAACTCTACATCACTTGGGCAGAGGAACTTGAGGCAAGAGGGAATTACAGGAAAGCAGACTTAATCTTCCAGGATGGGCTTCTGTGCAAAGCGGAGCCTATGGATAAACTACTCTGCCATCACAGGTAACCTGTCACAAGGACTGTAGGATTTGGACTTAAAGGATCTGCTTACAGGGTTTTGTTTTGTTTTATTTTTTTGCAGAGAGAGTGCCAACTGGAGCCTGGCAAGGAACAGAAGAATTCTGACCACATAAATTTGTTTTGAGTATCAAACTAATTTGAGTATCGTCACTGAAATTCGCTCACAACCTTTCATACACAAATCCATTCCATGATAACCCATACTTCTTCATTTAAGTGATACGATTTAGAGAGGAATGATTTTGACATTGCAAAAAACAATAGGGAATCAGAAATATTTGCTAATCTGCTGCAAGCACCCAGAGACCTAACAGTCTTTTAAAACTATCTGTATCACTCCTGAAGCTGCATCTTGAGAGTGCTGTGTTCAGAAGCTAGTATTTTAGGATTAATCTGATTTTTTATTTCCTTTTTTTGCCTCAAAGTATTGCTTCTGGTTTAAGAGTGATATGCTAGTAGTATGTTGCCTTTTAGTTTGTTCTTACATGAACACCCAAAGTGTGGATAGTTTACTTTTTGAACTATAGCCAGCATAGCCCTGGCCCATGCTGATTAGTGCATTAGTACTAGTTCTAAGGTCTAATCTCACCAAAAGATGCCAGTGAGAAAATGTGCAAATAACCCCCAAATGTGCATTCTAATATTTCAGAAGCAAGCAGTAAATATTACTTGTTATTCTGGAAAAGTAACGTTGCCAGTCATTTTGCTGTACTCCACACATGGTGGCCTTCTGTGCCTCTCCAAATATTGAGTAGACCCTCTGAAACAATGCGTGTGGGGGGGCGGTCAGAGTGGGAAAATTTAACAAATTCAGCAAGGAATGTCTTGCAGAAGTAAAAGTGCTTTACCAATCATGCAACATCTCTGCATCCAAGCCAGCCTATTAGGTCTGAAGCAGTATTGTGTACACATCATAGATTTTGCTGTTTCTGTGTTCAGACAGTTCCAGGCCCGTGTGTCTCGACAGGCTTTGGAAAACCTAGAGATAGACTGTGATGTGGAAGAGCCACTGGATAGTCTTCCTTCTGAACCTCAGAGAACCACATTGGCAGAACTTAAGGGAAGAGGAAAGAAAACAGTGAAAGCCCCAATCAGCCGAGTAGGAAATGCAGTGAAGTGTAAGTTGAGCCTGGCTAATTTTGTGCCATTATTAGTGCGGCCTGAACTGTGGATGTTTAACTTCCTAATCATGTTTTTCTAGTCCCAATCCAAGGACAAACATTTCAGATTCCATCATCTCAGCAAGGATCGAATTGTCCAGCCTTTGCTGTATTCGATGAAAACAGAGATGTGGCTTCTAGACCTGAGCTTCTACCACTTGTACCACAGTCATGGGTTGCACCTCCACCAGTAAAGTTTAAGGAGAATGAATTGCAGGCAGGACCATGGAACCTAGGCAGGGTAAGAAGAAATGGCAGACCTACTCATTTAAGTTGAGATATATGGGATGTCGCTATCTAAAAGCTCTTAATTCTTTCTGAAGTAAATGTTTCCCAAGATGATGGAGAATTAGATACTCTTCTGACATTGATGTTATTGAGGCTCATTCTGAATGGAATCTTCTCTCTTTACTATTCTTAAAGTGCAAAAGTTCACACTGTTTGTTCTGAATGCTTATTGCTTTATTACTTGGTATTCAAATTGCTCTTGCAGTACCTGTACACATGTCAACTGGCTAACATGGTGTTCTGAATGCTTATTGCTTTATTACTTGGTATTCAAATTGCTCTTGCATATGTCAACTGGCTAACATGTTGAACATTCAGATTAGAAGAAGTCTTCAGCAACATACTTCAGAATTGTGGAACCAGTACTGTTTCTTGCTATAATGAGAAGAAATAATTTTAGGCTGGAGTAGTTGTCAGAGAATTGGCTAATTAAATGAAATTGGTGCTTTGTCTACACACTTAAAAAAAGCTAGACTTAGATTCGGGGATCTTGTTCTCACCAAATGTTTTTTTCAGTTCTGTCCATATTTTAGAATCTGGAGTACTCTCAACTCTTTTGAAACAGATTAAAGCGCAGGAGCTACCGTATTTTTTGCTCCATAAGACACACTTCTCCCCCCCCCAAAAAAAAGTGAAGGGAAAAGTGTGCACATCTTATGGAGTGAATACTGTAAAAAATGGTGCAGACCCCCCAGAGCCCATGCCACTGTACTCCTCCTCTTTGGTCAACCCTCCGCTCCGGGTTTCTCTCATCTCTCTGCGTCTCCCTTACTAGGCCAGGACCTGAACATCAGAAGGGCACATGCTGTTGCGCCGCCACTACCAGGGGAATGCGATATAAGGGGAGACTCAATATGGGGGAGCACAATAAGTGTCCCTCACTAGGCCAGGACCTGAACATCAGAAGGGTGCCTGCTGTCATGCCACCACCACCAGGGGAATGCGATCGGGGAGACTCGAAATGGGGGAGCGCAATAAGCGCCTTCTCCTCCTCCCCCCTCCGTAGCTTTCCTCTCTTCTACTCAATATGGGGGAGCACAATAAGTGTCTTCTCCTCCTCCCCCCTCCGTAGCTTTCCTCTCTTCTCATTTGTCTCAGCTTTCTTCTCACCCTTGCCTTGCTTTTCGCTCTGCCAGCCCTTTCTTCGCTCACACAGTGGTGGTGGCTCCTCTTCACACTTTCCTCTTCCTTCCTCTCCCCTTCCCACCTCTCTCTCTTCTGTCTCTCAGGATGCCTGTCAGGGTCTGGCTGAGGTGTCTCTTCTGCACTCCCCCAAAAATAAGGGTGTGTGGGGGGGAACCATGTAACATAAATGAGAGCGGGGAGCTCACGATTACTACTTGGCTATGGTTTGCACTAGCCCATGATTACTACTTGGGCTATGGTTCCCGCCACCGCCCAGACAGCCAGGCGTGACTGAAGTTTTTTTCCTGTTTTCCTCCCTCTAAAATTATGTGCATCTTATAGTCAGATGTGTCTTATGGAGCAAAAATTACGGTAATTGGAACCCAGGCTCTGTTTAAATTTTTCCATGGAATTAATTGGAACATTTCACATAGTAAATGGATTACTACTTGGGCTATGGTTCCCGCCACCGCCCAGACAGCCAGGCGTGACTGAAGTTTTTTTCCTGTTTTCCTCCCTCTAAAATTATGTGCATCTTATAGTCAGATGTGTCTTATGGAGCAAAAATTACGGTAATTGGAACCCAGGCTCTGTTTAAATTTTTCCATGGAATTAATTGGAACATTTCACATAGTAAATGGAGAGCCAGTCTGTTATGGTGGATAGAGTTATGGACTGTTCAACTGCCACTGAAAATCACTTGGAGGTGCAGGCGATGGGACTGAGAAAACCACTTCCTAAATGTCTTTTATTTAAAATATTTATTGTCTTTTTGCCTGCTAACAGATGTCCATGGTGGCTTACACTAAAAACATAAGTATTTAAAAATAAAAATAAGTCAGTGGTGGCTGGAAAATGTTTTGTACTTAATCTGTGGCACTCTTAAAGTTTGTACCCTGAGCCGCTCCAGTATGATTTTGCCCATGGGTGCAGCCTCTTTTTTTAGATGGTCAGAAGGAATGCTCCTCTAGCTTTCAACTCATCAAGCCTTAAATACAGAGAGCTCTCTTCCTGCTAAAATACTTGTCATTTGTTTTTTGTCAGTAAATATATTCTGAGCCTAATACAGAGAGCTCTCTTCCTGCTAAAATATTTGTCATTCGTTTTTTGTCAGTAAATATATTCTGAGACTTATTTGTGCAGTGGTGCCCCGCATGACGACAACCCCATAGAACGGTGCCCCGCATGACGACAACCCCACAGAATGGCGAAATCACATGATGATGACTTTTTTTGTGATCGCTATAGCGATTGCAAAATGATGTTTCCTATGGGGGGGGTTTCGTTTGACGATGATTAGGTCCTTGCTTCGCAAACCATTTGTTCGCAAAATGATGATTTTTCTGGCTCCGCAAAATGGCTGCCCTTTGTTTTCTGAACCCATGCTTCTCAGGGCAGCCATTTTAACAGCTGATCGGCGCTCGGAAAATGGCTTCCCCTATGGCCGATCTTCGCTGGATAACAAGGTAATTTCTCCATTGGAACGCATTAAATGGGCTTCAATGCATTCCACTGGGGAATTGTTTTTTGCTGCACGATGTTTTCGCTTAACAGCCATTTCAGGGGAATGGATTATCATCGTGCTCCGGGGCACCACTGTATAGGGAAAATGTGGCATATTGTGGAAGGGAAAGCTGAGGTCTCTCTGATGCTTAGGGTAGAATGGAGCAGAGTCCTAGTCTTTCAGTCTGTCCCATGCAACAGACTGGCTCTCAATTTAACATTAGAGACTTTTCAGTTAATTCCATAGAATAATTTAAAAAGAGCGTTGGTTTTGGTTAGTTCCTATTGTTTGGTCTCTTTCATTAGAGTTGAAAGAAAGAAATATGACCACAATAGAGATTTAAAAAATACATTGTGAGTCTCAGTCTAGCTTTTCTTTTTAAAAAAAGCAACTATACAAAATACCGAAGTGCAGTCTAAGAGGAAGTTGCCAGTTCTACACTGATCCTAAAAATGCTCTATTTCCTATACTTAACTTTGCTTTATCTTTCTGTAATTAATCAATCAAGAACAAAACTCTGGTAAAGTTGACAATTTTGTTAAAGAGCCTGAGGGTTACTAGCATTTATAGTGCACTTTTTTGTGAGGCGGGATGGGCAATTTGTGATCCTCTAGAAGGTGTTGAGTTGCAGCATCCCTAATCCCTCTTCAGCATGACCAGTGCTGAAAACTAATGGGGGTTGTAATCCAGCAGTATCTGCAAGGCCACATGTTGGCACTCCTGATGTAAGGGACAGGATGATGCATGTTTTAAAAGGCCCTCAAAAGGCACACAGGTGTGATACGTCATGATACCAACAGTGCCTTTCTTTTCCTTCAGCGTCCCCGGAACAATATGGATTCTGCTAACGTAACTCCTGTTGTAGTCCCCAGTTTTACTCCATATGTTGAGGAGTCTGCACAGCAACAAGCCATGTAAGGTTTTTTTGCTTTCACTAATTAAACAGCAGCCAGAAGGATACGGGGGATGGGGTGTGAAGTTGCAAAACTCTGCTCTATGAGTGGGTATTGTAGTAAAACTGATATGTTTGGGGTTTCTTATGTATAAAACAATGCCCGTGAGGTCCCTTATTGTTTCTCTAGGAGTTTATTCAACAGTTTAAGACTAGAACAGTTGATAAAGAAAATTGCACTGCTCTGCTGGAACAAAAATCTTTTTTAAACTTTGTATAATAGCCTTACATTCCAAGGGACTGAGATTTTAATAGCTCTTAGGCTAAGGAAGCAATTCCAGAGTGTTTTGTTTTTATATTACTAACAATCTGTAAAAGTGGCAGATAATCAGAGAACACACATGCTCACATTTTGTTTCAGTTATAGAAACAGGAATCTTGCGTAAAATGCTATAGCCATACTTCAGTACAGTGACCCTCGAATTACAAAGGTCCCTACTTGCGGAAATTTCAAGGTTTGAAAAGCTCCAGCTGCAAAATTTTAGTTTGACTTGTGGCCGGAGCTTCGACCTACAAAAGGCAGGGGGAAAGGGCATGAAATTCAAAGCTACCCCAGCTGCCCTCTTGTATCCTGTCCCCAGTGCCCTCTGCCTCCTGTCCATAGGAGGCAGAAGGCACTGGGGACAGGAGACAAGAGGGCAGCGGGTGCAGCTTTCATAGCCCCGAAAGCCGCCAGTGGGCGTGGAGTGGCTTTCGGCTTGCCAGGCTCCTGGCAAGCCAAAAACCACCCCAACCTCTGCACCTGCTGCCAGCTTTTGGCTTTTGGTGCTTCGAAAGCTGCACCCGCTGCCCTCTTGTCTCCTGTCCCCGGTACCCTCTGCCTCCTGTCCCCACGGGGGCGGGAGGCAGAGGGCAGCGGTTGCAGCTTTAGAAGCCCAGGATTTTTTTCTTTGGTTGGAACGGATTCAATGGCTTTCAGTGCATTCCTATGGGAAATGGACCCTCGACTTACGGACTTTTCGACCTGCGGCCACTATTTAAATGGACCCTCGACTTACAGACTTTTCGACCTGCGGCCACTGCTTCAATAAGAATTAATTCCGTAAGTCGAGGGTCCACTGTACATATTGAATATATGTGGAACACTTTTCATATCTTTCTATGGTGCTACTTAATTCTTGTAATTAGAGTCAGAGGCCTGTATGTTTTCAGAACAGAATGTAGGTCTGGTAATAGAGCCATCACTTCTAAATACAAAAATCCAGACCCTGTTAAATACAAGGCTTGCAGCTGTAGCCTAAATATAAAATGGATTGAGGACTGTAAATTTATTTGTGTTAAATACAAGGCTTGCAGCTGTAGCCTGTAAATTTATTTGTTTTATTTATTTATTGGATTTCTGTCCCGCCCATCTAGACCAAAGGTCTACTCTAAATATTCTCCTAAAAATAGAACGGCTCATAATTTGTATTAAATGCAAAAGTCTGAATATATTGGGACATATTTGCTGCAGAGGATCTTGGTATACTTGCACAAAGCTCCATGGCTATTCATCTTCCATCCCTGGAAGATGTTGTCAGCAGCAAAGACCTTCGATTTACTGTCCTCCTGTTATTTTGTGAGGCCAGAGTTTATGGCTGATTTCCTATATGTTATTATATAACACAGTCCTTTTGGATAAATGAGTTTAACCACTTAAAAACCTGCCAGCTGAGGCGTAAGAAGGGACATCTCTATCTTGGGTGGTGTGAGCTGACAGGACTTTGGAAGTGGTAAATCTGCTACTTCATTCTCATCTTCCCTCAACCTTACTTGCTGTCATTTTTTTCTTATAACTTCTTACGTGATTTCTTTAACACAGATGTAGTCAAATTTACAAAGCCTTCAAAAACAGGTAGTCAAATTACATTTGTCTGTTGGACAAATTGCTCTTCTTTCCATGTCTCAAAATGATTTTTAAAAAAATCTTGTAGGAGGTGACTTCCTAATAATTTGATGAACAATTTATTGGTTTCTCTTTCCTTATGTCACCTGTTTGTTTTTCCCCAGGACTCCTTGTAAAATAGAGTCTAGCATGAATTGTGTGCTAAGTGTAAGAAAGCCTGGGAAAGACGAAGATCCACTACATCGCGTACAAAGCCATCAGCAAGATAGTCAGGAAAAAAAAGAACAACCAATGTATTGTAAAGATAAAGTATATGCTGGAGTGGAAGAGTTCTCCTTGGAAGAAATTAGGGCTGAAATCTACAGAAACAAAGCAAAGAAGAAAAGAGAAGGTAACTTCTGGAAATGGTTGGGAAAAATTAAAAAAAAACTCCATTACTTCTTAATGTCAGTCATTATTAGAAAAGTTTTAGGCAAGAAAGCATTCATAATTTACAAAGGTCACCATAGTCAATGTCATGTGATTTTTTTAAAAAAAAAAGCAGTTCAAAAGTACTTCTGGATTATATCTGTGAAGATTCTCAGTCATCTAGGTGAGGTTATCTGGAAACTGAGTCATGGCAACTGGACTTCTTTCTTATTAGGTTGAAATGTTTCTCTACTCATCCAAATACTGAAGAAGCTACTTGGATGAGTAGCGAAACGTTTCAGCCTAATAAGAGCCCAGTTGCCAGGACTCAACTTCTGGATTATTCTGTAAACAATATAGATTCCTTGCTTTCATCGTAAAGTAGCACATCTCTTCAAATAATTTTTTCCCTATAGAGGCTTTTTTTAGGCTGGGCAAGACATGTTGCAACTTACTTGCCAATAGGTACTTATGAACGTGTGAAATATGCCTTCAGGTCTAAACAAGAACAAGACACGAAAAGTGAATAAACTGGGTTTTCAAGAAAAAACATAGTGTGTAGTGTGAGATCCCCCTCCCTTGCCTTTTAATCTAGATTATTCCTCTAGTGTACTTTGTAAGAGTTGGTTTAATGCAGCATCCCTGTGAATGTAGGAATTATTAGCTGATTCAACCATTTTCCATGATACCAATAACTATACAGGTGTAATATTCTTTTTCTGATGTTAGCATTATGTTTGTAATAAAATGTTATTCCTTCCTACTCCTGTCATCTAAAAGGTGACTTGGGTTTAGACTTGGTAATTCTAGTTACAGTTTCACTGAGAAGAATAAATGGTGCCTTGTTTATTTCTCGTTAATATAGAAGAGCTACAGAACATAGCTAAGAAAAAAGCTGAGCTACAGAAGAAGATTGAGGAGATAGAGAAAATGGTGAAAGAGCAGCAAGAAAATAATAAGCAGGGGCCATCTGCACAGGTAATATCCCATCATGACTTCAGAAAATGTATGTGCTTGTAGTAAATGCTGTATTTCCCATAGATTATAAGAGTTCCCATTCCAATATAGTAAGAAATTGCCTTTTTGATGCTCGTAGAATGAGATTTGGAACCTGCTTTGTGACCTCCCCCCCACCCCTTCTTCAATAATTGCAGCAAGGAGATGAGCAGGAACCTGCAGCCATGTTAGAAGACATGGCAGAGGATCTGAAGCCTCCTGCAATCAAAAGACAGCAAGCCCTAACAGATTCTGAAGGATCTCTTTTGGATTGTTTTTCCTTGAAAAGGTAGTGTGGAAGTTAGTATGGGGAAAGGAAGATGACTTTTAAAATAATACTAATTTATTTGCTTAATAATAGAGTGGTTAAAATCTTGCTTTATAACTTACACCAACATAAAACTGAGATGGGAGCAGGAAATCTTCATTCATTAAAACTAACTGCAGGTGGGATGACTTCACTGGTTTGTCACTGAAGACTTCCTCCTCCCATCCTGTGGCTCCCACTGCTTCCTGAAAATGAAACAGATTATATGGGAGGCACGATTCTCAAGAGAGAAGTAAGAAATGGTTCATTTCCAAACAAATATCACACTTGCTGATATCATCAGCACCTTTTTACAGACATAAACTATGGGCTATCATTTCAGCTGATATATGAACAAGAAAATATTTTAAGTGTTACATTGTTTCAGAAGACATTTAAGAATCAGAAGAAATGACTTCATATGTTGTTGGTTTTGGATTTGCTTCTCTATGTTAGTAGAGTCCTCTTTAGAATAACTCCCTGCACTTCTGCTTGCAGCAGTCTTGAGATTGATGAAAATGTTCAACACAAGAAAAGTTCAAGCGGTAAGTTCCCTTCACACGCTCTTTAAATACCTTTCATGAAGCAGTGCATGCAAGGAGATAGTGATCAGACCCCACTCAATTATAACACTGGAACCTGCAGTCATTCGGTGGTCTTGACATACAATAGATTATCATACCTGTCCTGAAATTACTATTTTGTGAAACACATACTTAAATTTGTTGAATTCTTCTCTTACATTATGTGGCAAGCCAGCCCTTTTGTGTTTCAAACAGCCCCCCGTTTGTGTAATAAATGTTCTTCTAGTAATTGCTATGAACAGAATAATTGAAAGAGAGCCTCTAAAACATAAATGACATGTATGTGTACTCCCTTTCGTGAACACGTTTCATGTTTTTTTCATGATACTTTTTTCAGTGCACTCTCTCCCTTTGAAAAATGGCTTGAAAAATGTTTTATCAAGTAATATCATGAGGTCAGTCAGCCAATCAGAATGTCCAAGTTTTGAATCTGTAAAAAGGTCTGGAACCTAGAGAGCAGTGCTCTTTGCTTCAGTTGTTCCTTGTGGGATTACTATGTGCCAAGTGACTAGTGCTCTCCAGCTTGCTCTACTGATTGCCTGCCTGCCTGCTGTGCCTTGGATTCTTTACTAGCCTGCCTTTTTTTAATTTGGGGGGAACTCACCCCCTCATTCCTTTAGAATTTTGTTGTTGTTAGCAGCCTACCTGTGCCTCCTTGAATTATTTTTTAGATCTCTGTGCACTTATGCATGCTATTAGGCAGAGTGGTGAGGTATTCCTTTCTTTTCTTGGATTATTTTTGCTGCTGCCCAGCATACCTGCTGCTGCCTGCTGGATCCAAAGAAGAAAAGACAAGGCTTTGGGGTAGGGAGAGAGAAAATCTTGCCATGTTCTAGTACTTTTGGTTAGGGGAACAGTTGATAAAGGCAACAGTTTTTGCCTTTATTTGCTTGTTTGCTTTTCTTGGTTTTGGGTAGAGGGGGCTCTGTGTATATATGCTTTTTTAATTTTGCCATTTTCCCCATGTGTGTGTTTGCTTTCACTAGATGATTGATTTTTAAGACGATTTGTCCCTTCCCTCTCACATGTCTGCCTTCCTGCCTGCCTGCCTAAGAGTAGATGTGTAGATTAGTGTTCTTAGACTGCAGGCCCCAGAGTTTTGCCTGGGGAATTTTTGGAGAAAGCTGGAAGCTACGGTCCCTTAGAGTTCTAGGGAAATATAGAGAAGAGGAAACTTAGCCCTGAATTCATTTTCCAGCAATGTGTATCCTCTATCCGCCAAGCCTTTGCATTCAGCCACTGTCCTGTTATAATGAGTTGCCCCAGCAGATAGGCTGGTATGGCTCTCTGGTGTTCAAAAGATAAAACAAACAGCCATTGTTTTGTTCCTAGGTGCAAAAGCACCACACTATTGAAACAGTGATAAAAGACAGTCCTACAGACAGATGAAGACTTTTGAGTCCAAATACAGGAACAGCCTATTATAAGAGACTTTAAAAAAAAACTGGTCCATGATTTGGGCCTTTTGCTGCTTCACTCCAGAGCCTCACTCCTCAGAGAAGTGAGGCAAGAGAAAGTGAAAGCTCATCCAGAGTGCACTGAAGCTGTGTTGAATCCTGTTTGAACAGCCTATAATAGCTGTTCAAAATACAGTGGTGCCCCGCATAGCGAGGTTAATCCGTTCCGGATTAACCGTCGCTATGGGGAAACATCGCTATACGGAACGGAAAACAATGTTTTTTTCCAATGGGGCCCAAAACTCACCGTTCTGTGATGTTTCCCCATCCGGCCGCCATTTTCGCACACTCGGTAAGCGAGGGCAGGGCGTGAAAACGCTGCGCACGGCCATTTTGGGCGTCCGGCGGCCATTTTGGAACCGCCGATCAGCTGTTTTAAAAATCGCTATGTGAAAATCGGTAAGCGAAACGCTTACCGATCGTCGCAAAGCGATTTTCGGCCATAGAAAGCATCGGTATGCAATCTCCTTAGCGATCCCAAAAAACGGATCGCTATGCGAATTCGTCGTTAAACGGTGTGCTCGTTATGCGAGGCACCACTGTATAGAAAAACCTCCAGATAAGATTTTGTAGTAGACAAATTTAAATATGCAGTGGTCATAGGGGAAACAGAGACCCATGTCAAAGCAGTACCAGTTACCAAGTAATGCATAGTTTTCTGTGACATGCACTAAACACTGGTTTTACAGAAATTAGGTGCAAATTTGTTATTTGAAACCATTCTAGATCAAGCTGCCTTCTTACTTGCCTTGCACCATCTGTAATATGGATTCTTCAACGTTCCCTACCTTTTCACTTCCTACAAAAATTCTTACATAGCTAAAAATTTCCAGTGCAGCAGCATTAAGAGCTGTCCAACACCCACTGGTGTTCCACAGCAAATCTTTGTAATATGCTTAGTCACAAGTACTTTCGCTCCTTTTTTCCCCAAATGAGTATAACATTTATTGGCTTTCTTTCTCTTCCAGAGTCTGAGATTCTTCCTGCAGTGAATCCTTCTGTGCCTTTCTCTATTTTTGATGAGTCATCTGCTTTAGAAAGTGAGAGTGCCAGGTAAATATAGATGAAGCACCAGAGAGAGCGCTTTCAGTTTTATTTTCAAATATCTCATTATTGAGAATAATTTGCATTCAAACCATTTTTTAAATCAAAAGCTGATGCCTAGTATCTCCAGTTCTGGTAGCATTATTTCGTGTGTTCTTGATTTTTTTTCCTTATGCACATACCACCTTTAATATGGATTAAAGTATTTCATAATTGCTGTAGGTGATATGTCCTCCAGTGTTGTTGGAGATGCAGAACCAAGCTGTGACATTCTTAAATGAAGTTAATTTGTCATTAGAAATCAAAGTATGCATTTATTTATTTTACATTTAGTCTTTCTATTGGCCCTTCCCTGGTACGTACCAGATGTCCTCTTGCTGATCGCAAACCTTCAGAAAGTATTGCTGCCAAGGAAAACATACCTCCTGAAAACTCTGTAAGTTTTTCAGTGTTTTTGGAGACCTGTGTGTAGAATATTTATTTATTACATTAAAAAATGTACCTACTCTATCTTTCCACTAAAAATAGCACTCAAGCATATCCTTCTACCTTATGAATGGAGGCATAAGCATAAAAGCCAACTGTGTCCTCTTATCTCTAAAGACTGTGTTCACCAAAAAAGTATACACCGGGCATGTGTACACACCTTATTTCTGTAAATATGCACATTTTAATTTTTGTTGTGCAAAGAAGCTCTCAAGCTGAGGTGTAGCAAAAATCATTTGGAAAAGGAATGTTTCTAAAATTTGAGAAGGAATCAGTGCCTTTGGGACAAATTCTACATTTTAACGTTAATGTTTCTGATTTGGATATGGTGCCCTGTTTAACCCCAAGATACTGCCTAACTGCTACATAATACCAATGTCTGAGTGGAAGCAAACTAGGTCCTTCTGCTGATGGAACTGCTTCTGTCAGTGGAATGGGAAGACAGCAGTTTCCTCTACCTGCTCTGGATTGAGGATCCCTCTAAAACAGACTTGAGGGGCTGTAGTATTGCCATCTGGACAATGGAGTGGCACCTGATAATAAAATGAACACAGTATTTTATCTAGATTTATGGGTACTTTGGGGAAATCAAGAAGGGTCCCTCATTTTTGTACTATTTAGACTAATGTAGAATTTTGATGAACTTGGAAGCTTGCTGTTTTGTGATTGGTTGGTATAATAAAGCAATTGCCCACTTATGGATGTGATGTTTTCATTCTAACCTAATTTGTAGTTTATATGTGGAAGTAGACTTTTATCCTCCATAATAAAATGACCAAAACAAGTTATTTTCCTCCATGTTGTGAAACATAGCAGTAGTTTCATTTTCTTATGTGAGACAGAGAAATAGATATGCATGTGTGTGTTTCTACCTACCTACCTCATGAATTTACTCAGAGGGAATTCCAAACAAGTTAAACTAAAAAAAAATTTTTTTGTGGTGGTTGTGCTAATCTTTGCTATGCTTCTCTAGGAAATTATCCATGAAATTGAACCTTTGAATGAAGATGCAATTCTCACAGGTTCATATAGGAACAAAGTCCTCTGTCCTAACCCTGAAGATACCTGTGACTTTGTTAGGGCTGCCCATCTGGCATCAACTCCATTTCACGGGGTGACAGAACAGAGAAATCAGCTTGATGAGAAGCCAAAGGGGAAGTGCTCAGAATCTAAGACTGCACGGCTGAATCAGCAAACAGTTGTTAGTGAAGATCCATATACTGAGGCCCTCTTTGTGAAAAAGCTAAGGTAAATTAAAAGATCAGAGTTCTGCAGACTTAAGTGTATTTAATCTAGCATAAGACATGCATCTGCCTTGCCTACATGAAGAGGATATTAAGTGGTGGTTTGGTGTTTTCGTGGTGTTCTCAAAACCTCTGCCACTATTCCTAGTAGCTTGAAACCTATGTGTCATGTTGACCAGTTTCCTGAAACTTGGCAGATTGAGAGGACACAATACTCCCATCTCTCTGGTGATGGAATATATTGCCAAAATTTTGTTGGCCAGGGTCCACCTGCATAATGAATTGCTTCTGATTAAAGGCTTTCTTTTGTGATTTGGGGTGCATGCAAGTTCATCACATTGCATGCAAGCTATACATAGCCTAAAATCACAAAGGGAAGATCTAGACCAATCTCAGCCTGCTCTGCTAAGGACATCATCCCTGTTGTGTGCAAAATGATTTCAGCCCATGACTGAATGCTTTGTTCTGTTCATTGTAAAACAGTAATCTGACCAAATTGAGCACAATCAAGACAACACCCTGAAATGTAGAATTCAGTGGTGTGAGGTATCAGACTATCAAATAAGAACTGGGGGTTGTTAAATTAAAGCTTGCACTGTGCTGTGTAGTTCACTGGATGAGCTTGGGTCAGACATTGTGTTTGCTTTACATGGGAGTTGGGAGAGATTAAGTGAGGGCAAGAGTAAAAAATGTATTTAAAAATCAGAGCACGCAGCAGGTATATCATGTGATGCTATAGCAGTGCCAGAGATGGGGTTTTCTTTTTAAACTGCAACAGTTAGAATACTATAGTCAACGTGACTGGCAGGCTCCCTGGCTGGGGTTTTCTTGGTGCTGTTGTCCAAAAAGGTAACATTTTCCATTTCTGGCTGGTTTATAAGAACTTGGAATGAAAATTGAATCAAAGGATTTTTGGTTCCATTAGTCTACAGTAGTCTGATGCTTTACAGTCCAGTGCCATTCAAAATTAATTGTACTGTTGAACTTGAACCGAATTCAGCTGTAGCAAGTGAGAGAGATCCTGCTGATTCTGTCTTAATCCTCAGGCAATCCCTGGTTCTGAAATTCCACAAAGTTGTAGTTGCTTTGTCTGACTCTCCTGACCCAGAAAGGCCAACAGAGTAAGATGGGGCCGGCCCATCCCTGCTGGTGGTTTGCAGGCATTGACTGAAATATACAGTGGTGCCCCAAATTACAAATTTAGTTGGTTCCGGAATGATGGCCGTAACTCGAAATCATTTCCCATAGAAAAGCACCATTTCCCATAGAAATGCATTGAAATGCCATTAATCCATTCCGACTAAAGAAAAACATCACCAAAAAAACTTCACCAAACACTGTAAGACTCATCGGAAACACAATTAATCCACTCCAGCCGAAGGGGGGAAAAAGCCACAAAAGCACACAAACCCTGAAAGACCCACCAGAAACACAATTGATCTGTTTCGGCCAAAGGAAAAAAAACCCAAAGGCAAACAAACCCTGCAAGACCCATCGGAAATAGAAAAGAAAAGAAAACCAAAAGAGACTGCAAGACCCATTGGAGACGCAAAAAGAAAAACCCAAAAATCAAGTGGAGACTGCAAGACCTATCGGAAATGCAAAAAGAAAAACCCAAAACAGACTGCAGGACCCATCGAAAAAGCAAAAAGAAAAACCCAAAAAGCAAACAGAGACTGCAAGACCCATCGCAAATGGGAAGGGGGGAAGCAAAAAACAAAGAAACCCTGCAAGACCCATCACAGCATAGAAACATAACCCCACCACCTAGCCCAAACCCATGCTGCAAAACCCACCCAGAACAGCCAGTTTTTAAAAAGTAGAAAGCAGCACCTTGCCAGGCAGTCTGAAGCCTCCTCCAAATGCATACTCTCTAACCGCTGGGGCGAAAGAGCTACAAAGAAGCAGCCTCTTCGCCACCAATGTTTAGCAATTTGTATTCCCTGCCTTTTTCCCTGCCTTTTTTCTGGTTGTAACTCGAAGCTCAGCTCGCAAGTCAAAGCAAAATTTTGCAGCCGGAGCTGGTCGTAATTTGAAATGGTCGTTAAGTCGAGGCACCACTGTAACAGGGACACGTTGCAGTACCAGCACACCACTTATTCTCCAGAAAGGCTGCAGTTCATATAGAAAATAAGAGTATAATCAATCCAAAGAAATTAGTGAAGGAAGTATTTGGGGTGTTACCAGAGTTTTGGATATTAAATTGTGATGAATTAGCTATCTCATTGTTACTTCACCACTTATTCTCCAGAAAGGCTGCAGTTCTAAGAGTATTATTAGTCCAAAGAAATTAGTGAAGGAAGTATTTGGGGTGTTACCAGAGTTTTGGATATTAAATTGTGATGAATTAACTGTCTCATTGTTACTTCTCTCTCAGACTTGTACATGCAGGGAGATAGAGAGCACAAGGCAGAAGTTTGAGGCCCCTTTTTTGTCTCCATGAGTAAAGATCCTGGGATGAATTTGTGTCTCAACAGATTCTAAATATAAGGATTTGGTACTAATAATGTAACACTAGGTGTTCCATAAAAATATAATTTCTCTAACACAAAAAAGAAACTTCTCTGTTCACTAGAGAGATCTGATACAAAATAATTGACATGAATTTTCCAAAAATCTCTGAATAAGTCTGTCATGTGCAAGTTAATCTGTCTTTCCCAACTATTTGTAGTCCAATCATGGAGGCAAGTCAAGAAGATACCAGGTCTTCTGCATCCTCAGCTTCACCAACACAAATTTCTACTATTAAGTTTCAACAAATCCCAGAGAAGCTAGTGTTGGCTCAAAGCTCCATTGATGAAATTGCCAGTGATGTTGAAAATGCCTCTGGTGAGTGTATAGCTAACAGCTTTACTTTTTTTTACTGATTATAAACCTGTCATTATCTTTCTGAAATGCAGTAAGGATTGCCAACAGCTGGTTCTGTTAGATTAGGTGAGGAGTAAGCCTTTTGCTTTCACATGGAAGCAAAGGCTAGTTATCCTGGTAATGTAAAGAGAGAAGATGGCACAGTAGCAGTAATGTTAAGTATTAAGGCAAGGTTTGCTACGTTGACACAAAACTGCTTGATTGTGGAAGGAATGTCATGAAAACATTTTAACAATTATGAATTTTGCATCTGTCAGAATTGTTAATTTCTATTTTAGATTATTCTCCTGAAGGTGCTGAACAGCGCAAACAGCTCTTACAACCTCTTTCAGAGGTGTTGACAAAATCTCCAAACTTCGTTTTGGAGTCTCAGCCAATGCCTTGGATAGAAATAGAAAAAGAAGTGCATCTAGGTAAGGATATAGGATCTTTTTTTACAAAAAAAACCCTCATGGTTTAAATTATATAGTATATTTCTGTTACAAAAGCTAGAATGTATTGTTAAGACAGTATATATACTTAAGTGTTTCCTCCAGTTTGTCTCAATAGTATACAGTGGACCCTCGACTTACAGACAGCTCAACTTACAGACTTTTTGAGTTACAGACTTCTCTGGCTGCAAAATTTAGATTCGACTTGCAGCCAGAGAATCGACTTACAGACCAGAAAAAACCAAAATGGAATAAAAATAGAATAAAAACCACTGGTTATGGGATTAATCGGTTTTCAGTGCATTGTAGGTCAATGGAGATTCGACTTACAGACTTTTCGACTTGCAGCCACCATTCCAATACGGATTAATTCCTTATGTAGAGGGTCCACTGTACAGTAGTTGCAAATTCAGAAGTGCAGAGTCGCTCCATGAGACATGCACGTGCACATACACACACATTTTCCTTCCTGGGTGCATGCACACATACATTTCCAAGTTCCAAATTATGACGTAGTTGCAACTATGAGGATGGAAGGCAGGAATCCATGAGGAGAGAAGGAAGAAATGGCCTTCCAGAGACCAGCTCTTCTGCCCCCTCCTTGTTTCTTCTTACATGACTTCTGAAATGTGGAGGTAGTGGCAGTTACCATGGCTTTCCTACTCCTCTCTCTCTCTTTTTTTCCTCCTCTTCACCCTTCTTTTACCTTCTCTTCTCTTCTACTTTGCGATGTTTTCCAAGCAGCATTGTGAGCACGTTGCAGGGTGGTTTATTTTGTGGGTTTCTATGTGCAGTGGCAGAGATTGAGGCATAGAAAGTGAAGCAGCACCCAAGCCATCCTAATCAGGCAAGCAGGAAGGCAAGGAGAGGGCAAGCTGGAACATGAGGTGGGACAAGATTCTTCCCCGTCCAAAAGAGAAAGCAGTCTGAATTGAGAAGGGAAAAACATATATCCCTATGAAATGTGAAGAGAAAATGGTTTTGAAGGAGGGCCCAGTCTGAAGAGACAGGAGCCAGCAGCTGCCTGAGGAGAAGGGATGGATGGAGTGATCTAACAGTCAAAACTGAGGGAGCTGGGAGGGTTGTGGCTGCAGAAAAGGTGCCAACACCTCAGCCATCCATGGGGTTATGTGGCTAAGCCAGTGGTTTGTCCACCTTGAACTTGCTATAGCTGTTCTGTGGAAGAAAGAATGGTGTCAGTACTATGAATGTTTGTCCAAACAGCTGGTGACCTCATGAATTACTCCTCTTTCTCTTATACTAGCACTATATTATGCAATGTGGCAAACAGAGTTGCTTCTGTTGAAAATTATTAAAGGAGTTTTAATAGAAATGATGGAATGTCACCATCAAAACAGGAGATGAGTTCAAATGGATGCTTTGGTCCTAAAAAAATTAGTCCAAGAAATACCTACAAGATTTTCTTGTGGCTTTACTAAAGCAGATAGCAGCTGAGATTCTAGCCTGTTGATTTTGAGATACAGAGTTGTGTCTATAGAGTTGTGTCTGACAACCAGCAGAATGGCATAACCTAATGGAATGGATCCTCTTCTGTACTTCCAAAGTCTTCTCGAAAGAGTTGTGGGACCATACAGAGGTGATGGGAGGAGAGAAAATGCTGTTACACAGCAGGACTTGTGTAACATTGGATTCCCCCCTAGTAGTTGACAGGGAACTCTATATAAGTGATTTTAGTGGCATATAATAATATATACAGTATATACAGAAAGGAATATACTTCAGCTTGAAACCTATAGTTCAACCTACAAGTTAAGCTTTTAACAGTGTGCTGTCTCTAGAGGCTGTTTTGACTGTGTTGCTAATGATTACTGCAAACCTAATCTTATTTCAACAGGGAATGAGGTTTATTCTATTACTCGTGAATATTTGATCAGTGAGGATGACAAGGTGTTCTTTGCTGTACCAGCCAACTTTGCACATGTCTCAACTTCATTTTTAATAAAGGTATATACATCTTTCTAGTCCATTCCTTATTTTACTCTTTTCTCCTAATTTTTATTGCATCTATAACAATTTTACTGTCCTTTAATTGCATTGTGGCTTTCCAGCTGAGTGATTTCTGAACAGTAACAATCAAAATACCCAAATGGTTTCCAAATTTAGAAAAAGAGTACACAATATTGCAATATCAACATTTAAAAATACAGCAGCAAAATGGCAAAGTTAGATTGATTTAAAATGTAAAAGAACTATTAAGCTAAAATGCAGCAATGAAAAACCAGAACTGTGGTTCAGTTAGAAACATGGGGAATAAAATAGTTCTAATATGGCTCATAAAACTCTAGACCTGGCATTCAATGGTCCTTAGGAAGTAATCAGCGACTCGTTTAAATGAATAATATAGCTTAATGTTATTGTCGGGAGCACTTTTTGAGGATACTCTATAGCGGAAGTCCTAGAACTTGTTGCAGAAGAGAATCTTATTGTTATCCTAATTTTTTCTCTCTCTCTGTTTCCTGTTCCGAAGTCACCCTTACTAGAGGAGAACATTTTGCTAACTGAGCTCTTGTGAGATGTTACGGTGAAATGAGATTTTGCCTTGACATCGCACCTCTGTTACTTTGGTGGAAATATGGCTGGAATTCTAGTGTATATTTCCACTGACGTTATACCATTGGGTAACTTTTAGTGAAAAGTTAAGATGTCAGGATAGGCATTTTCTGCTGTACAACAAATGGAATTGGTACAATAAGAAATGCCTATGCCAGCTTCTTGAATTGTAGCAATTTGCTGCTCAGAGTTACATAGACAACATTGTATTAGTGGGCATAACTAATAGGATTTTGGCCTATGTATTCTCACAGCCTTTATCTGCAGTAAATCAAGAATACAATGTGAGCAATGTGATTTTACAGGAAGCACATAACTCCCTTCTCACAACAGCTTCACTGCCTGATAATCCTATTCCCACGTCAATTCAAAGTGCTGGTCATGCCCTAATTAACTCCTCTACAGCTTGTATCCAGGTTATACTTTGCCATAAGAACCTTCCTGGCATTTAAGATCTTGAGGGAGGCCCCTCTCTTGTTGCATGAGGGACAAATTTTTCAACAGCTGCTCCCCAGGTTATGGAGTGCCCTCTCACACTAAAGGCTTGGTTTGTTCCCTCCTTTTTACCCTTCTGCCCATAGGCAGAAATCTTCATAGGCTTTTAGTAACTGAGTAGACAACCAAAAAAAGATTTCTTTGTGGAATGTTATACATTTTTATTTATTTTTTTGTCTGTGTTTTTAAACTTTTTTAAACCACTGGCCCTTTTAATGTTACATGTTTTTAATATTCTAACTTACCATATATCTATCATGTAATTGTTTGTGAACCATCTTGGGCCTCTACACTGGGAGAGAGTTCACAGAAATGAAATTAAATACATCAGTATTGTCCTGGCACATTTCCAGTATAAGAGATCTCAACTGATCTTTTGAGATTGGTCATGTCAGCTCAAAAGAATGGTCTTCTTCATAAACACTGTCATCCAATGTTGGACAAATATCTGAATTTTGTTTAAATGAACAATTTCACCTTGGGAAGCTGTATCTATAGGTCAGGGTTTTTCTTTTTCTTTTATGTAGGTACATTGTGAGCCTGTGCCGTGGGACTTCTATATATTGCTGCAGTTACAGGCACGCTTGGGTGCTGAGTTCAATCACAACTTTAGTGAAAACTGCACTTGTTTCTTATACCACAATGGCTGTGTGACTCTACATAAGCAGATAAATTGCATTACTCTCCAGGTGAGTGTGGATAAACGAAGTATGGAAGACAGAATGGGGGTTCATATCACAAGGGGTTCGTAAATGTTGGTGCCACTTATTTCATGTTGTGATCATGGGGGGGGGGATAAATGCCGCTGAGTTTTTCCTGCTGATTGATTTTGAGACTTTGTAGTCCTTTTCCCCGTTTGTAATTAAGCTGGAGTAACAGCAGACTTCCTCCACTGTTTATCCTTATCTCTAGTTTCCTCTCTTTTGCCTCCCTTGTGTCAGTTTGGACATTAAAATCCCGTCTTCTTTTTAAAAGTAATGACATTGCAGAGTTCGCTCCATGCCATAAAGCAATGGTTACCAGTCTTTGGTCTCCAGCTGTTCTTGGGCTGCAACTCCCAGAAATCCTGATTAATGTTGAAGCCCTCTGAGAATTTTAGTCCAAGGAGGTCTGGGGACCTAACAGTGGGAACCACTGCCATAAAGCATATGAATCTGCTATACAAAGCCAGCAAAATGTGTCTGGGTGCCATAGATCTCTGTTGAAAATCCCAGACTTGAAGTCATATATGTAAGATGTGTAGGCATCCTTCAATCTCGAGAGACTATGGTAACGTGCTCTGAATGGGGGACTTGGAACAGCACCTAGTGTGGCTGAGAAGGCCAATTCGAGAGTTACAATCCCTTCCACACTGAAGAAAAACACAATCTGTCCCCTGTCCAGGTACCTGATTTTGATGGTTTCAGGACTGCCTCTTTGCCTCGGCCTGCTGAACAAGTGTCTCTTCAAATTGGGAGATGCCATGCTACACCGCCTGGCTCCAGATGTATATATAAGAATGCCTTAGTAACTTCCTAAAAGCAGAATTTAATTTGTATACTCTATATTAATATAGAGAGTGTAGGTGCAGTGGTGCCTTGCTTAGCGATCACTCCATTTAGCAACGAGATCGCTTAGCGATGCTGTTTTTGCGATTGCAAAAGCGATCGCTTTGTGATGTTCTCTATGGGGTATTTTTGCTTTGCGATGATCGCAGGGAAGCAATCATCGCAAAGCCCCCGTTTTTACACGGTGATTCTAAAACAGCTAATTGGCTGCTCTAAAATGGCCGCCCGCTGTGCAAAATAGCTTCCCGCTGTGCTTTAGGACGGATTCCTTGCTTTAGAGGCACCAAAAATGCCGGTGCTATGGAAGATCTTCGCTCAATAGTGAGTTTTAAGCACATAGGAACAGATTGAAGGGGTTTCAATGTGTTTCTATGGGCTTTTTAATATCTCATAGCGACGTTTTCAGGATCTTCGCTCAACAGTGTTTTAAGCACACAGGAACGCATTGAAGGGGTTTCAGTGCGTTTCTATGGGCTTTTTAATATTGCATAGCGCCGTTTTCGTTCTGCAACGATTTTTGCAGAACGAATTAACATCGCTAAGCGAGGCACCACTGTACATACAAATTGCTATAGCCTTTGTTACCACTGTGTATATATCTTAATTTTTGCCCTTAAGATGTATGAAAGCTAGGTCTTGAAAATGAAAGGCCATGCATTTTTGTTGTAAAAGAGAGAGCACATAATATTTAGATGGATATCAGAGGATGCTCCGAACCAAAAACACTTATGTGGTCTTGTAATAAGACTGAGCTCTACTGCCCATGCACTAATTATTACTGTCGAATTCTGTAGAATATATCTTATTACATGCTGGTGAGAGTCCTATTGCTCATTTACACTTGTAGCATAAGCAAGGAGCTTTCTGGCATCTTAAACTCTTAACACATTTTATTTGGCTTAAGCTTTTGTGAATTGCAAGTTACTACATCAGTGTCTTAAGTGTATAATAATATGGCAAGTGTAACTTTTTAGTCCTTAAGTTAGCACAAAACCTCTTACATTTGATGAAATTTGTTGGGTTACACTTAACAAGCTTTCAATTCATTCCTGTATTTCACAGAACATTTTTCCCATTGTTCTCCCAAATATCATGTTTTTATTTTGGAAAAATTCAATATCTGCCTTATTCCTACTTATATTACAAATATATATCTTCATCTAATATTCATGGTGGGTAAATGCTTTAAAAGGGACTTAGTGGTGCTGCAGGTTAAACCACAGAAGCCTCTGTGCTGCAAGGTCAGAAGACCAGCAGCCATAAGATCGAATCCACACGATGGAGTGAATTCCTGTCGCTTGTCCCAGCTCCTGCCAACCTATCAGTTTGAAAGCATGCAAATGCAAGTAGATAAATAGGTACCACCACAGTGGAAAGGTAACAGTGTTCCGTGTCTAGTCGCGCTGGCCACGTGACCATGGAAACTGTCTACAGACAAACTCTGGCTCTATGGCTTGGAAACGGGGATTAGCACTACCCCCTAGAGTCAGACATGACTGAACATTTGTCAAGGGGGACCTTTAACCTTTACCTTTACCTAAATGCTTTAAAATAAGACCATGTTTTGCTGCTTTTCAAATAACCATTTATTGTTCTGGTTATTTAAATGCCAAAAAGAACAAAAAAAGAGCGAGGGTTGAGTTCTAAGATATACTTTGGTCACAGAATTCTCTACATTTAATAGAAACCTCCCTTTCTTAAACTTTATATTAATTAATTAAATTTATACCCCAGCCATCTAGACTGAAGTTCACTCTATAAAACACTTCGTACAAACAGTTGTATTGATTTGATTCCTGGATGGTAAAATAATACTTTTTCTTTTCTTTTCAGGATATGCTTCAGTATTGTAAAGTTATTCCGCAAGAAGTGGTTATGCTGATCCTTGACAATCTCCTGGAAGTGGTGGAGAAATTGCATAAAATAAATATAGTTCATGGAAATCTGCATCCAGGGACACTGTTCTTGGGAGACAGGTTTGTAGCACTTTCAAAACCACCAGTGTTTTACTTTCTCATCTGCCTTTTATAAAATGTGTCCTAAATTGACGGACGACATAATTTTGGAAACAGAGAATATAACAGTAAGGCATTCAAATGGGGAAATCAGATCTATAAGAGGTCTTCGTTGGAACACCTCTTCATAGTTATTTCTGTTCTAGAATTGAACACAGAATGTTTGGGATGGTAAATTCAAGCATTTTTCATTTCTTGTATTTATAGCTACTCTGGATGGGGTAATTCAACACATCGGGGGGGGGGCAGGATGGGAAAGACTGGCTCCCACTAGAGCTGCACCGGACCCTTTCCTGCTCAGCTTTTAAGAGGATGCTCACAGAAGCCATGCTCTTTTGAGCCCTGTCATGCCACCTGTTTTGCCATTGTTTGGTTTAGCTTTGGTTTTTATTTTTAATGCAGTGAATATATTTTGATTATTTTTCTAATTATTTGTTATCCTTTCATTGATGATTTGTTTTGCTATTATATTGTTTTTGTTTCATCTCGTTGTAAACCACCCAGAGCAGTGCCTCTCGTTAATCAAGCAATATAAAAGTAAATAGAAAGAAATTTAGTTAGCCAGCCAACTGCCTTGGTTCTTTTAAGGAGAAAGGTGGGGTAAAAATATTTTAAAGAAATAAATTAGTTAGATTATATGCTTTTGAGCCACCAATTCAAATATCAAGACACTATTCATCCTGCCTAAGGCTCCCAGGAGAATAATAATGTGGGAGTGCTTTACAAAGCATTCATAATGCTGAGAGAAGGTACATAAAACGGTGAACACTTAAATACCCTGTATAAATATTCTCTCTGCAATCTGCATATACAATAGCATTAGCCTATCTTAAACTTCCCTTTATCTATGCAAAATTCCAGGACTACTGCAGATATACCCCCCCCCCAAAATGTCATGTTTGCCATTTTTTAAATTCATAACAATTACTGCTAAAGTCTTTGGCTTTGAGAGCCTCTAAATTTAATTTATGGGTTCTCATACTTTTTTATTCAACAAAGTATCTATAGTGAAGTAACCTCCTGACCTTCTTGTGCTGTTTGTTTCTTGTGAAGCTAAAGACCACAGTCTCCTCACATGACTTGAATTTAAATCTGAGAACAATATATAAAAACTTAAAACCTGTATGTATACAGTGGTGCCTTGCTTGACGAGGATCATCAGTTCCAGCGAAATCGCTGTAGAGCAAAATCCTCGTCAAGCGAAATAAAAAAGCCCATTGAAATGCATTGAAAACCTGTTCAGTGCGTTCCAGTGGGTGAAATACCTCAGCGTCCAGCGAAGATCCTCCATAGGGCAGCCATTTTCCGATGCCTGTGCAGCAAAAAATATGTCCTGAACACTGCGGGCAGCCATTTTGAACAGCCAGCTGCCATTTTGAAAACCTGACGATCAGCTGTTTTGATCGTCGTAATGCGAAGAATGGCTTCCCAAAGCAGGGAACTGATTGTCGTAAAGTGAAGTTTGCCCATTAAAACATGGTTTTGCGATCGCAATAGCGATTGCAAAAACATTGTCGTGAAGCGGATTCTTCGTTAAGTGGGGCACTACTGTATTCACACTGCTTCAGTGGGTAGTATTAATTTTGACAGTTATAATTTACAGTGTGGTAAATCAGTATATACACTACAGTTGCCAAATAAATGTTCAGTAGTGTATAATTTCTCAGAAGGTGTGATATTTTGTGACATTTTCATCGACTTCTAGTTACCCATCCTTTGGTGTGGCAAAAACTATTATGACCCTTGCAGCGTCTTCTGGGCTAACATATATATTATGGATTATTTTTGGGTTACTGGAATTTGGCATTCATGTAGTACAGTGGAGATCATAGGAAAGCTGTTCCTTTCTTGAGGTTAGCAGCTTGGTTTAAACACAGAAGCTGCTTTTAGCATGAGTTCTTAAGGCAGACACTAGAGGGAGGCAATAATGTACCTAAGTGCAAATACAATATGCCATTTTAAAAAAACCTCTGGAAATCTTTCCTCAGAATTTGCAATCCTTTTGGAATGGCAGAGGCCAACAGTGCTCTGAAACTAGTGGATTTCTCTCACAGCCTTGACCTGCAGCTACAACCAGCAGTAAAGTCCCTGAAAAGATTTCCAGTAGCCCATACCCAGTATGGGCAGCAAATCTTGGATGAAAAGTCTCTTCCATATCAGGTGAAACATTACTACCTCTACTGTAAGTAATATAGGTGACTCTTAAATAGAACTGTCCTTTTCTGCAGCTAGCATGGGATTTGGTTAGCTGCCTATACAAACTATGCAAGCAAATCTTCCACTTGGGAACCTCGTCTTCATCCAAGTCTGTGATTTCTACTGGCTGAAAGAAGCAAGCAGAATTCATTTCCAGATTTTTTTTCTCAGGGGATCATTTGCCTTCATCCAAAATCAGTTGTATTACTATGAGCATAGAGTGCTAATGTCATTGCTACTTTTAACACCAGACAGTTATCTCCTAAAAATTTTTATGCATAGATTAATAGAAAATTGCACTAGATATATTTCTCGAGTGGACTGTATTTCTTAAAAAGAATTTAAAAGATTACGATGCGCATTAGATGATGAACACTGTGAAACTTCAAAGGATCACAGCATCAAGATTAATTGAATGGTTCTGTGTTTTCAGGTGGACTTGCTTGGCATCGCAGACACAGTCCATCTGCTTTTGTTTGAGGAACATCTGCAAGTTCATCGGGAGGAATACTACTGGAAAATTAACAGAGATTTATCCCAGTGAGTATTAGCCATGCGAGCATGTTCTACATCTTCTTTGCTAACTTATTTAGATTTACAGCTTAGAGATTATACCATTAGTTGATAGAAGAGGCATTCATGTGTAAATTAGGACTATGTGTTCGAACAGTTAAATAGCAGGAACAAATTTTAATCTGTACAGCTCTGGGATTTAAGAGCACATGATTCACTTGTTTTCTGGTCCTAGTGGGTATAAAGTGATTAGAGTGCTCTTTCTAACAAGCATACATAAAAATGTAAGTTACTTTAACATCAGTATCACAAAAATCAGCCATTATATTGAAATGTTAGTACCATGCATAACTATATAATTTTTTAACAAGTGATTTCAATAAAAAGCAGAGACTAGTTATAGGAAACATCTATAATAGCTTTTGACAGCCGGAGCTACAACAGTGAAAAATGCCAAAGTGAGGAAATTTCATTTACCTAAGTTATCTTGTCTTGGGATTGTGAAATGTTGCCTGAATCCTTTCCCAGAAGAAAAAAACCAAGGGAGTGCATAATTAATCAATTAGTCTTTCTTCTCCCTGGCTTTTCACAGGGATATATTTGACATAATACACTAATCTTGATACTCTAATTTTTTTTAAGACAGTTCTAACAAACTGAGTGTTGGTGTAGGTATTATGAACACTTTCATAGTTCCTGCTTGCTTGTTCTGTTTTGCCAAGCAGTGGAGAATTACTCAGTCTTTAAAGGAGGGGAAGGATCCCAGTGCGTATCTAAATTCAGATGCTTTATCTTTTTTGCCACAAATTGTAAATCAACAAACATCTACCATAACTATTTGTGGTAATAATCTATACCAGTGGTTCTTAATCTTTTTGAAAGAAACGCCCCCTTCAGCCATTGAGGAAGTTATCATCACCCCCCTCCCCGTGGCAGCGGCGCAGTGGCAGCACCGGATCCGCTGTCAGCACCAGCTGCTCTGGATCCGCTGCCAGCACCGCGGCTGCAGCCGCCTTCTCAGGTTTCTCTTGTTCCTTCGCTCGCCCCCTTCTGTTCCTTCGCCCCCGCATCGTCCCTTTTCGTTCCATCGCCCCCCTTAAAAACAAAGTCGCCCCCTGGAGGGCGATATCGCCCAGGTTAAGAACCACTGGACTCTATAGCATAAATGTCCGATCTCTTTTGGGGGATTGAATCCTCCAAAACCAAGGTGTCCGTGGCTACACACCACCAGCCGCAATGCCACACTTCACACTTTCTCCATGTCTTAAGCCTTGGTCCAGGACAATGTGGTTCTCAGCAATGTGTATTATTTTTAGAGCTAAAAGAAAACACAGAGTAATCTGCAGTAATCATAAGGCTGCAACAGTGGCCAGCGTGAAACCTTTGACCAAGCAAGTGCTTCTCTGTACATCCATCCTCCCAACTTGCTGCCATTTCTCACAATGCCAAAAAAGAAAATAGGTGCCTCTGATGCTCTTGTTGGAGAAACCCTGTAGATATTCTTCCCTTATAGGGCTGAAAAGGCTGAGAGATGCCAGCCTGACTCAGAAACAGTGTGTTTGACTCAAAACAGGTCCTTGATGTTCAGGCTACTCTGTTCCTCAAGGATTTGCTGAAGAAGCAACGCCTGTGAGCTGTTTGCTGTACCTGAGAGGCACTGTGATACAGTGGCCAATGTGTTGTATAGAGACTAGAGAGGATGAAATCCCTGCTTAGCCACAAAGATTTCTATGTGGTCTCGAGCTGGCCACTGGTACATATAGGTGCACAGGCATGGAGAATCTCTCACTCTTTCACTCACTTAATACAACACATAGTGTAACTGACTTATCTTTTCAGGGTGGCTGTGAGGGTAAGGTGAATATCAAACATATCCTGCTCTGAGCTGATTGAGCTTCTTGGAGAAATGGTAGGATGGAAATAGTAATACATGTTTATGTTCCCACAGCCTTCACAGTACTGAAGGAAAGTATATTAATCCAGTAAAATATTTTACAAGCTGTGTAGGCAATCGTGAACGTTTTAAAAACTACATAAACATCTGCTGTAAGGGGTGGTAAACTTCCAATAGCATGCAAGATAGGCACTTAATTTTTAACCTAAGTGGGTTCTGAGATCTGTATCATCACACTGTCTCATTTGTATTTGTCTTCATACTGCTTCTATATAACGTTGGGCAAAATCATGGAGCACAACTACATGGGTGTAACTTGACGTTATGCCTGTGTTAACTACGATAGCACCAAGGCAGATCTGCTAGCTACAAAGCACTACTGCTGGATCATTGAGCACCTAGTCATGCTGGGATGCATGATCAATTGTGGCACTGAATTGCACAATTCCTTGTTGCTGGATCTAATGCTCAGCACATTTAATTAGATGAAACATGGATGAACAGAATTTTGCCCACTGAGCATGGCCAAAGTGAAAGCATCCCTTTCTGATGATTACTTTGTAAACAGAGAGAGACACTGAACATAAAAGACGAAATAAAGACTGGAATCATTTCACAGTCAAATAGCAGAGTGAGGTGAGGCTCAGGAGGCTTCAGAGAAAATTTTACAAAGCTTGTCTGTGTAAAATGAGAATTAGTATGTAGTTGTGAATAATCTGTGGGAAGAGCTTCATTAGGTGTCAAACCTTGCTTGGCTGTGGAGCTCATTCAAGACAGAAACAGCTGTAAGAGGTAGTTGTAATTAGAGTGGAAAGCACCTTAATGGTGTAGAGAGCTGATTTAAACAATTTTTCTGTATTATGACATCATGTTATAGAGGAATTTTGAAGACCAGTTGCCAAACAAAGCAATTCCAGAGTTGAGAGGTGCTCGCAATGTGACAGTGAGCCTTAATGTGATCCTCACATTAAGAATTTCTCTCTTCCAATTGTGGGCCATGTCTAATGTCTGGTTTTGGACTGACTGGTTGTTTTTCAACAATGTTTCAACTCTTAATTTCCCTCACTGTCCTTGAGGAGAATATGATGTATACCACCGACAGCGTTTCAACTCTTAATTTCCCTCACTGTCCTTGAGGAGAATATGATGATGTATACCACTGACAGTTCTCTGGAGGAAGAGCAAGGGAATATGAAGTTACCTTTTTGTATCACAGGTTAAGATTTCCATTGACAAGTCAAGTATCTTCTGCTTCCCTTTGTTAAGGATTTAGACCAGATGCATAGAGCTTGGTGTATTTGCTAACGCAGCTCTTCTTGCACATGCACTATAGCAGCAGCAACAGATCATTCAAAGATGCTTCAAATTTACAGTGCACCAATCTTTTATTTAAGAATACCCCTCAGATTTTCTTTGTAGCTCTCTGGAGGATGGTCAACCAGGTCATGTTTTCTTCATCTTTTAAGGAATAGTTGCTTTTAGACATCTGCTGTAGTAGAACCAGGGGTTGGGAAATATATAGACAAGTATTTGATGTGGGTTGATGCATGCTGTTTTGCTGACAGCCATTCTGACAACTAATATTTCAGTGAGCTAAGCTTATTCCAATAAAAAAGATTCAGTATAAGAGTGTTATTAACTTTTTTCTTTTAAAAATTTTAAGAGTAGGAATACCTTTTTAAGCCATTTGCTTTTATAGAAAGCCTGAAAATAAATAACTGCATCAAGAGTTTATAGAGATGGCTCATGATATTAGTATGACAAGTTGTGAGGAACCGTATGTATATAATGATTAACACTGTGCAGAATACTGCAAAAGAGACACTTGCCAAAACATCTGTATGTGCAGGAATATTTTGTTCAAATTCTTCAAACTGATTGCTAAATAGCACAGATGGAAGATTTCCAGCTAGACAGGAGGGCGTGTTTAAGATGCTTCATCTGCCATTCTGCCTTCTGCCTAGGTAAGCCTGACTCACAACATGAGGGATATGATTGTTTCAACTTATTATATCTCTTGCCATCCCTTTAGGCTGAGTTTACTTTTAGGGATGATGGACAAAATGCTGTAGGTGTACAGATTCTGTTGCTAACATAGCCTTTGTGTTCAGCACTTCACTTGGTATTTATAGATGACAAAGAGTTCTGTGATGTCAAGTAAGTGAGCTGGTAGAGAGACAACAAGTCCCTCATTCTCTGTCATTACCTTTTTGGTTGTCTAGTTGGCCATAGAAGGTGTGAAACCTACCCATTCTCCACCAGTCTGCTTTCTAGAAGGTGTATTTAGGTAGCTGAGCCAAATATCTTACGCTTCCATTATGGCTATGAAGGATGGAGCTTCCTCTTTTCAAGTGGCACTATTAGCATGGGTAGTAGTCGCTTAGCAGGTTAGCAACAAAACTACAGACAACATTTTTGTGGGCTTATTTAGGCCATTCTATTATGTCCAGTGCTGCCCATACAGTCCCTGAGTGATCACAGAATGTGGAGCAGCTCCCCTGTGCAGAAAAATCTATAGGCTGAATAAGCAGAAAGTGACCAATGTCAATTCACTATTGGCTGTTTGTGAAGTTGTATTGGCACAATAGACCTTGAATAATTAATTAAGAACAAACCATTATGTTTCCTGTTTTAAAAGCGAATGCTCAATGTACTACTGGTCCTTGAAAATAGAAGAGTTTGTACTTGAAATAAAATACCTCTGATATAAAAGTAGAAATTAAGCTTGACTGCTGTTGACCTCTATTATAGTCCTCACTGGTTTCTAATGTATTCTTCTGACACTTTTGGAACATTAATGAGCAAAGTAAAAATTGTATTCTCAAAGGCTTTCATGGCCAGGATCCAATGATTGTAGGTTTTTCGGGCTGTTTGGCCGTGTTCTAGAGGTTTTTCTTCCTAACGTTTCGCCAGTCTCTGTGGCCGGCGGCTTCAGAGGACAGTAGTTATAAAGTTTACAAAAAATTCGATTTCCTGTGGCCGGCGTCTTCAGAGGACAGTAGTTATAAAGTAAAAAAAAAAAATCAAATTAATTTAAAGAATACAGTAAAGGGCTTTTTCCTTATAAGTAAAGCACTTGAAGTACAATTGCAAGTACAATTTCCTTGAAATTGTCTAACTTTAGCTGAGCCTGCCCTTTGGGTAAACAAACCAAGAGGAAGGCATTACAATACAGTGAGTGTACAGTGGAGAATGAGCAAATTCTCCAGCATCTTGCTGTTTAGTCATCATAGATGATTAGCCAGTTAACCTGCTTTTATACCTAGGTGATCTCCAGAGCTTTAACTCTAGCTTTAAAATAGGGTTTGTTTGCACAATTTGTATTTTCCTATAAGTTAGCAATCCTTTATTTGGAATCGGTAAACATAAAATTTAGCCAACATGACACATAATTTTTTGGCTAAACCCAGAACACATTCACACTTATAAATAAACATATAAATTTCTAATGTATACAGGCTGCTTACTTTTAGATAGCTTTCCTCCTAACAAATGAAATGGCATGAGAACTTCAAAGAAAACCTAATGTTGGTTTTTATTGCGGCAGGTTTCTTAGTAGCTGGAATTTATACTTCAGATCTTTCTGAGGCTTCCCTTTCATATCTGTGATTTTTCATGTTTCTGTTTTACTGGTTTTTCTACAAACATTTCTGCTAAATACTAAAAAATAAAGCTATACCTCACTAGGGACTCTTTGGGGAGAAAAAGATCCCAACTTAAACAGGAATCCTGAAGTACCCATTCACAATAAATTATGTTTCTATATGGTTTTAGGTCTGTTGACGATGATTTGTGGAATCACTTCTTTGAGAAAATTCTGAATGCAAATGGTGAGCCATCTGTGCCTCTACTGAGAGAGCTGAGGGAGAACTTGAGTAGTGGGTTTGACAGTTCTTTCCAAGAACGCCTCGGTGATTCCTTGACAAAGCTGGAAGACATACTTCATGTTGGAAATATTTTCTAACCTGCCAAAAATATTGCTCTAATGTCCCCCAGCTTTTCTATTTTGGTGATCACCATCATCTTCCCAAGGCAAGTGAAAATTCATGGCTTCTTCTCTCAGTTCCCTGTTAGATGTATAGAATTGCAACAACTTTCACAATAATTTTCTGATGACTTATTAAAAGAATGCTGCTGATGCCTTGATCTTATGTACAGTTTCTGTTCACTAGCAAACCTCTCTATGCCATTAAATTTTCCTGGTATGCTTCATGTTATCTTCAGTTTTTCATCCTTGTGTTTCTGTACATCTAGATCCTGTTCTGTCTTCTCTTTGTAATAACTGTTCAATAAATCTATTTTGTATTCACCTGTCTTTCAGAATCTGTCATTATTTTTACTAATTTTGAGTGACTTACTATGTATGTAAAGTTTCCTATTTTGCTGATATTTTTGAGTAATTTGGATTGACAGTTTCATCTAATAGAAATGTTGCTTTAAAGTGTTATGAGCTCAAAAAAGAAAAAAAAACCAAACAGGTCTTGAGAACAAGGTAGATATGATGGTATTTTACACAATTTGCAGTGCTGTAGCTGCAGTTTAAACAGCAGTCAATGAGTTACACCTTTGCCATGGTCTTCATACAGACAGGATTGTACCAATGAGAGGATTCATTTTAGTGCAGAGCAGCTGCAGGACAATCTGAATAATTTACCCATCCTTCTTATCCAATATTTTGTGACTTAATAACAACCAACCAAATAATTGCAAATCCAGTCTAGTTTATGTGAACATCATACAAATCTATAACTTTAATATGGAATCAGGCTGTTTATGAATCTGTGTCAAATGAATCATAGAGATATTTTAGTCTAACAGACTGATTATGTGTGTGTTCACTCAGAACTTGTCCTCTAGATATGAAACCATTACCTTAATTTTTTTAACTTTCAGCACAAGCAAAAGAGATTGTAACCTGATTATGAGGAACATGCCAATCATATGCAGTTCTGGTTCAATGGCTTAAACTTTCCACCACACAAGTATGATGTCATCAGCCGCAGCTGTTTAGGGGCACTAAAAAACTTCCTAGGGTGCCCTCAAGATTTGAGGATCTCCTTCATCTCCAGACACCCTTCAGGAGCCATGGCACAGGAGGGGGAATTATTTAAACTTGGAAAATTACTGCTGGCAAGAGAAGGACCAGCAGGGGCAACTTTCTAGCTTTAAATCATTCTGTGGCTCCTTGTGGCTGCCCCAGGATGAAGGGATCCCTGAAGTGGTGAAGAGGTGGTTATAAGAAGTTTTGTGTTGTTCTGAAATGGCCATGGCTGATAACATCCTTATTGCACAGCATAAAGTTGCACAACAGGATTTCAACCAGTATGATGATGTTCCCTTAATGCTCCTTTTTGCAACAGCATAAAGCTCTCTGAGTGGTGATGGATTCATGTTGAAATTGATTTGTCATTAGACTTACCAGAGTTATTAATAACAAGCTAAGCTGCTGATGGTATGGGCTCAGTTCTTCACAAATCAGAGCAGTTGACAGTCATAACCACAGGCTAAATTATGGTTCACATCTCGTTATGATTCTAAAACAGCATCCCTGGGAAGTCTGTTATCTTTGCTATGAGAAAAAGTTTTTACCCACACTCCCATTAATGAAAGAGACTAAAATAAAGCATAAACAGTGGACATTATTCTGCAAGAATAATTGCAGTAGAAAATTCCATTATAAAAGTAGATCCTATCTAATGAACATTTAGCCAGTAAAGTGTGCACACTGGCTATTATTTATGGTGATAGCTTCCAGCAGAAATCTAGTAACTACAGTGGTGACTTGCTTGACATCGTTAATTCATTCCAGCGAAATCGTTGTAGAGCGAAAACTTCGTCAAACGAAACTAAAAAACCCATTGAAACGCATTGAAAACCCCTCAATGCGTTCCAATGGACTGAAAACTCACCATCCAGCAAAGATCCTCCATAGGGCGGCCATTTTTGGGTGCCTGTAAAGTGAAAAATGGCTCCTAAACACAGCGGGGAGCCATTTTGTACACCCGGTGGCCATTTTGAAAACCCGACAATCAGCTGTTTTGATCGTAGTAAATCGAAAATCAGTTCCCGAAGTAGAGAACCAATCATCACAAAGTGGGGAAACCCCATTCAAGCCATCGTTTTGCAATCGCAAAAGCGATCACAAAAACCTTGCCGTCAAGCGGATTCGTCGTTAAATGCGGCAGTCGTAAAGCAGGGCACGACTATAACTTTGGTTGAAGAAAAAACTAGTTATAATTAGCACACTTTCTACTGAACCTATTAAACTATCAAAGCTACTTGATACTGTCCTTTTGTTTCTGTTCTTAATTCACACACCCTGAAGGCTTACCATTTGTAAAAAGATGGAATAAAAAACAAGTAAATCTAGGCATCACACATTGAGGTCTTTTTCATGGATTGCTGCTGCCACCCATCAAATGGGACTGGGTCTCATGATGTGGATACTACCCCTGCCCTCATAGTACCTCCTGGGACAGAGGATTCTAGTTCAGTTGAGGTGCAAGTCTGTTATGCAGTTGTACCTTATCATTAGATTAGGCATTCCTCAGTCTCGAGAGACTATGGTAATGTGCTCTGAATGGAGGACTTGGAACAGCGTCTAGTGTGGCTGAGAAGGCCTATTCGGGAGTGACAGTCCCTTCCACACTGAAGACAAATACAGTCTGTCCCCTGTCCAGCTCCCTGATTTTGCAGCTTTTGGGACTGCCTCTTTGCCTCAGCCTGCTGGACAAGGGTCTCTTCAGAATGGGAGAGGCCATGATGCACCGCCTGCCTCCAGGCTGGACGCTCAGATGTCAAGGTTTCCCATCTGTTGAGGTCCATTCCTTAGGCCTTCAGATCCTGCTTGCAAACATCCTTGTATTGCAGCTGTGGTTTCCCTCTGGGTCGCTTTCCCTGCACTAATTCTCCATACAGGAGGTCTTTTGGAATCCAACCATCAGCCATTCTCACGACATGCCCGAGCCAACGTACTGTAGACCTTATAACAGTAGAATAAAAACTAATGGCAGAAGCTTTTTGTGCAGCACTTTAGTTTCCCATGTGTAATACAAACTGCTCTTATATTACACAGAAGCAACTTATACTGACCCTAATAGGGCTTTCAAGGTTAATGAGATATTTGAGTGGTTTTACCAGTTCCACACACCCAGTGAGTTTTAATGGCTGGGTAAGGATTCAAACCCAGGCTTCCTGAGTCCTAGTCTGTTATCTATCCACTACACACTGTGTATCATAAGCTGATCTAAAAAGTCATAATACAAGAAGGCATGTATAAAAACATTGTTGCATGCAACAGACAAACGTGTGTATGTGGGTTGCATCCCCTTTTATGATCTTCCAATATAATTTTTTAGAAAATTGTTAAACCATATTCATTGGTTCAGACATATGAGAAAATGTTTGGAGCACCTGTAGCTTGTTTCATTGTACATGTGATTGTAATTGTATCAGGATTTAGAACACCTTGCATCTCTCTGGCTGAAGTGGTCTTGCTTTTTAGGGTTCTTTCACATTTTATGCGATACCAAGCTCAGGACTAGCACAATAAAAACACTTCAATAGGGCTTTATTGCCTAAGCCAGCGTACTGCTGAGTATTGCCAGAATGTCTGTTTCCCGGCTAGTAGCCATGTTAGTCTCTTGCAGCAAAAACAACAAAGTCTTGAAACTACTGTGTCATTTAGGACAGGGGTCCCTAACCTTTTCCAGTCCGCAGACCGGCTGGGGAAGGCAGGGCACTCCCTGCGCTTGTGCGCATCCGCGAAAGAGTTCGCATCCGCGAACAGCGGCGCTTGTGCGAGCAGTTGTGCGCACAAGTGCCACACCACCGTATGTGCACGTGTGTAGGCACAAACACCTTTGCAGGGGTGAGTGCATGTCATGGGTGAGTGGGGTGGGAGGTCTGTCTTCGCGGCCCGGTCCAGCTCAGGCCACGGACCGGCACAGGACCGCGGACTGGGGGTTGGGGACCTCTGTTTTAGGATGTATGTGCTCCAAGTATTTGCTGCGTTTGTACTGATGCTACAGTTGTCATTGTTGGAATGGTAGGCCAAGGTGGTACTTCTACACTGAACCATGAATTCATTTGTTTTAACATATGTAAATACACATCTAGCTAGGCCTATTCTCTTAAAGTATCAGTACCTTCTCATACATGGAATGTGCAGTTCAAATATCTTGTTTCTACCATTCAGAATTCAAGAGACGCAAACATTATTTTGTTGCCTACTGCAACAAAATGGCAGATAACAAGACATCTAAGTGATCAATTTTCTCCTTTAGAAGCCCCAGCCCTGATCAAGAATACAATTTCTTCCTCTCAGCACTTGCCAAAGGTACTGCATGCAGATCTTCCTGCTACTCTCTGGCAGGTTTATCAATGTTTCCAAGAAAGAAGAAATCATTCTAGAATATAAATGGTGGTTTCCTCAGAACCAGAAGGTAAAGTTCAGAGCAGATCAGGCTGATTCCATGTTTGAAGCTCTCAGTATATTAAAAGAAGAAATGCCAGAACAGTGTTACAAAAACTGTGCTATATTTTAAATGTGAATTATCTATGAGTGTGAGGCCTGGACCAAATGGTCCTATTGCCGCCCCATATTACATCATGACAGGCTGTGCTGACAAATCTTGCAAAACTGTCAACATTGTGATCAGTTTTGTTATGCCAAAAATACCCAGTGTATCAATACTATTTGTCAATCTGGGGGTTCTGCTTTCATTTTTGTAAGCCCCCACACATCTTATTTTATTTTATTTATTTATTAGATTTCTAACCCCCCCGCTCCCCCCCCCCGACAGCATCTACTCGAGGAGGCTTACAAATATCATAAAATATAACAAAAACATCATGAACATGAAACAAGTAAATCAATAATATGGTGTGTTCAAGATGGGGAATGATAAAAACAAGAAGATAGAATTCAAGAATTGACAGAAGAGAAGGCCTGCCTAAAGAGCCAAGTCTTTAAATCTTCTACTCCAAATAAACCCTTGATAGAGTCATGGCTCTTCTTGTGTTCTGTGTTGACACTGCCAGTTCTACATTCTGGGAATTTTTGTCCCTTATTTTTGTGAACTTTCAAATGCCACCGAATGTACTGCTTAAGGCTCCAAGGACATATGTGCCTTTTACTTGGATGTGCACACATTATGCACTCAAACCACAGTGCTGCTTTCCTCCACTCTGAAAAAATCCTGCAGAGTATTGTTAAGAATGCACTCCATTGTCTTCAAAAGGGAGCTAGTTAACTTCATAAATAGCTGTGGTACATTATAGGTGGATTGCAATATGACATAACTTCTGTTAATT